CATAATAATGAAGCCTTATTCTCTTACTATAGACCGTTACTATAGAACTCAAAACGGTTTCTGGACAGCAACCCACTATACCATGGCGTTAGGACAACGTGGACGACTCCGAGCGTGTCCTGCTTCAGCACAGCGACATGCTCGAGGCGATGGGAAAGCAGCTGTCCAGAATGGGGCACTGGGAGTTCTCAAAATCCAGGGTCTGGGTGTGTGTTGGTGGGCTGCTCAGTAAGGATTACAGAACTTTGCGAACTCTAAAGGAAGAACCTTAGTAACCCATGTTCCGCCCTGGCTGCTGTAGATACCCTTGCCGGCACATCCTCACACCTGGCACTATGCCCCGACATGCAACTCCGACATCAAAAGCCATCATACCATGAACTTAGACTCCAGTTGTTTTCAATCGTTCCCCAGCGTCCCAAACAATATAACCCTATATAACCCCAAGATACTATAGTAGTTTCCATTTTCTTTTCCATTATCCCAATGTATCCCGAGGTTCGTTAAAGGTTCCAGCAACAGAGGAGCCTTTGGGTTGTTGCTCTTATGCTTGGAGGGCTTTGGCTTGGGCATCCCAACCTCCCAAAAAGTAGGACCTCATAGCTATCACATGAGCTATAGTCTAAACTCCTTAAAGNGGGTTATATAGGGGATTATATAGGGAACTACTATAGGGGATATTAAGGGGGATACTAGGAGTTTAGACTACAGCTCACATATGGTCCTCACTTCAGGGGTTGGGTTGCCAAACCTCTCTTGTAATCTTAAGCAAAGTGCTCCGCTGGAAGGAGCTGTCAAGAATGATCTCAAGTCATGAGAGGACACAGCTATTTCGGCGTAAGGGGCAAAGTGTGAGTGAATATAGGTCCTAATCAAAACAATATATGAGCCATAGTCTCAACTCCTAGTTCCCCCCCTAATGTCGCTTATAGTAGTCACCTACATGACCCCCTTTAAGGAGTTTAGACTATAGCTCATAATGGGTTCCTATGTTTGATCCACTCCCGGGCGCCCCCCTCGTGGAAGCATGCGTTCGGCTAAGGTACGATGGTAGCGACAAAACTTGGGTCAATCCCGAAAAAGCCAAAGAGCTTTGGGATGCAGCTACCTAGCAGCAAATGTTTAAGGTTTGGGGTTTAAGG